TCTTAATTATAAACATCTTCATTTGAACAAAGACTAAGCAAGACGGGTATCCTAATTTCTTTCAGTGAATTTAAAAAAAAAAAAAAGCAATGCATCATTTACCTTGAGTAGCTGTAGCTTTACAACACAAATCACAGAACTTTTTTCCTACAATTAACCATAACTGGTGATAAAACAATAGACCTATACTATGATCTTCTACTGAAAAGAGAATTAATGCATGGGAGAAAATCACATGAAAACCCGCCAAGAAAAGTAAAGGTGCAGCAATCAACAAAAAAGGTAGCAGCAACCTATTTTTGAAATTCTCAAGAAATCCTCTCAATAGACTTTACAGAAAGAAACACAGCTATTAATGGAGAACAATTTGTTAGTCTACATTTTAGGGTACCCTTGGACTATCGCCAAGTTGTTTCATTTATGGTAACCTGAGTAGTTGAATATTATAGAAACCCTATTATGATGTGATTGGTTGTAATGCGTAATTGCGGTGACTTTGACTGTTGGGAAAATATTTGCAAGGGCTTATTTATACAGTCAAAAGTCGTTAATTCGGACACCCATAATCCGGACCTCAAAGCTACAAACTTTTTTGCGCATGCGTCGCATTGACGCCGTAAGACCTTTACGGCTGCGAATATTGTGTTGTTCCTTAATCTTCGAATTGGATCCGGCTTATTATTTTTTGCAGACTGTTAGAGCAATTTTATAAAAGTAAGCTTGAACTTTCGATTATGTCAAATAGAATTTCTGATACAGTCAAAAGTCGTTAATTCGGACACCCATAATCTGGAATGATCTATAATCCGGACCTCAAAGCTAAGAACTTTCTGTGCATGCGCCGCGTTGGCACATGCGCACGGCGTTTTACGCGTGCGCGTAAGACCTTGACTACTGCGCATATGCATGTGCGCAAGTGCAGAATACGTTTTCGCCTGCGCGTTTAATGTATAACGGACGGTGTAAGCTAAAATTATCTAATTATCTATTTCAGTTAATGTTAATGATTGCGTTGTTCCTTAATCCTCGAATTTGATCCCGCTCATTATTTTTTGCAGACTGTAAGAGCAATTTTATAAAAGTAAACTCGAACTTTCGATTATGTCAAATAGAATTTCCAATGCTGGAACTTCCAAAGGATCTACAAAACGAAAGTATGTTTCGATGTCCAACAAACAAAAAGTGGAATTGCTTCAAAAAATGGATAAAGACATGAAGAATGTGACAGAGAGGTTAGTTTAAAACGAAAAAATTTCGATTGACAAGTTAGTCGGTATTCTCGGCACAGCAATTAACGGGACTTGAACAGCAGAACTTTGTAACTGAACAAGAAATTATGTTTTTTTATAGAATTAAAGAGAAAGTATTATCACATAAAATGAAGCAACTTAAACAACTTACATTGAGAGAAAGTTTAATAAAGTAAACCAATAAATATTAAGCTTTTTTTTTTTTTTTTTTTTTTTTTTTTTTTTTTTGTAAATTTTGATACCCTTTAGATCATAATTGTTCTTTATTTTCATAAATTATGGTTTCATATTTTTAATTTTAGAATTTCTCCATGCCATCTTACGAGATTTAAACTGATGATCTATAATCTGGAAAAATCGATAATCCGGAATCGCCGAAGTCCCGACGAGTCCGGATTAACGACTTTTGACTGTATATATTTATTAATATGTAAAGGATCTACAAAGCGAAAGTATGTTTCAAAGTTCATTAAACAAAAAGTGGAATTGGTGAAAAAATGGATAAAGGCATATCCTTTGTTTGCGCAATGAATTGGAAGTTGATCTGTCAGCACTATCCTTACCTTCAGGACAGATATTTTAATTTTATTTGGCTTATAATTCCTTATTAAATGTCGTATTTCATCTTGATGTACTCCATGTTTGATATGATTTAAATCAAATTCCTCCTCATTATAATTCGCTTCCGATAGCGAAGAAAGTAACAGAGGTTATTGAAAACGAAAAAATTTCGATTGACAAATTAGTTGGTAGACACAGCAATTATAGGACTTGAACAGCGGAACTTTGTAACTGAACAAGAAATTATGTCTGTTTATAGAATTAAAGAGAATGTATTATCACATAAAAAACAAAGCAACTTAAACAACTTACATTGAAAGAAATGTTTAATAAAGTAAACAAAATAAATATTAAGCTTTTTTTTGTAAATTTTGATACCCTTTAGATCATAATTGTTCTTTATTTCATAAATTACGGTTTCATATTTTTAATTTTATAATTTCTGCATGCCATCTTACCAGATTTAAACTGATGATCTATAATCCGGAATCGCCGAAGTCCCGACGAGTCCGGATTAATGACTTTTGACTGTATATTGGATGTTGGTTAGGAAGTATGTTGCTTATTTGGTGCTTTACATTATTATGCTTGCTGGTGGTACAATTAACCTGAAGTTTCTGTACACTTTGGAATGAATGGGAAAGAAAACATTGATTGACTGGAGTGTAAAAATGAAGGTTTAAATGGCTTCGTTCACCTCTTAATAAATTACACAGTGACATTTAAAGATTTGGACACCGGAACTCATATCAATACTATGGAAGGTAAGTGAGGTGTAATAAAAAGGAATTTTCGAAATAAATGCTACCGTCAATCTGGCAGTATGGAGAATATTTTTCATTTTTATTTTTGTGAATTAATGTGGCAATGGCAGTGTACAGATTCTAGTTTTCATAATTTTAAATAGTTTTTGGATGCTGTCAAGAAATTCTGTGTGTCACACATGTCGAAGAAACAGAAATTTTTAAATATGTCAGTATTTCCTTTTAGTACTGCATAGATTAGATAACATGTATTTCCATTCTTATGTTATTTGCTCGTTTGATTTAAATTGCAGTTTATTGAGATTATATATATTTTTTTAATTATGTTTCATTGCATTATGTTTTGGACGCCATTTTACTGGGGAGAGCATTGGACGTAAACAAGAATGGCACCAAAAAATCGCCAAGGGGGCCCCCTGAAATATATTTTTACACAATGTCTTCTGCATAAATTATGTGATGAAATTAAAGAGAAAAAGCCTAAAATGTTAAACCACAGAATTTACCTTCTCATGATTATGCTTCTGTGCATTCAGCAGTTGTTACTAAAAAAAGCAGTAAAAAAAAAAAATTAAAATATAAGAAGCTTGACTACCCCCTCATATTTGGCTCAAACGACTTTTATCTGTTCTACAAACTGAAATTTGACCTTAGATTAGAAGAGATTTAAGGTAAAAGTATATTTACGGGTACCCCTTGACAAAACTTGGCGATTTTGGGCAGTACATGGAGACTGAGTTTGTGCAAATCTTTGACTTATTTTGGCTTGTGTAGCAACGACTTTTGCGCCAAAACTCACCGATACACAAAGCCAAAATAACAAGACAAAGAATTGCACAAACTCGGTAACCACATACACATCAACCTATTTTCACTTTAAAAAAATCATCCCAGAATTGCACAAACTTGACATTGTTGACTTTGCGCCAAAACTCACCGATACACAAAGCAAAATAACAAGACAAAGAATTGCACAAACTCGGTAACCATGTACACATCAACCTATTTTCACTTTAAAAAAATCATCCCAGAATTGCACAAACTTGACATTGTTGACTTTATCCATGTACACATCGACCTATTTTCACTTAAAAAACATCAGAGAATTGCACAAACTACGCATTTACCACTCCCTTGACTTTGTCCATGTACACATCAAACTATATTCACTTAAAAAGTCAAAGGAGCAGCCAACAAAAAAAATATATAATCTCAATAAACTACATTATAAATCAAACAATGAAATAACATAAAAAAGGAAATTCATCTTTGCACTACACAAAGGAAATATCCGCTTACCTTATTTACGAATCAACATGTCTTCAGCCAAACAAAATTCCTTAATAGTATCTAAAAACTTCCTAAAATTATCTGAACTAGAATCCGTATACTGGCATTGCCACATAAATTCATAAAAAATAAGAGTCAGAAATATCCTCAGTAGTGTCGTATCATCCGACCATAATCATTTCCTTCCTATAAACAGGACACTTAATAATGGCTACTAAGTAAACCTTCATTTACACACCAGTTAAATAATGCTCTTTTCCTCTTTCTTTCTAAAATTGTACAAAAACTTCAAATTAATCTTACCACATTCAGCCATTTTACCTTCTAAACCAGAAAACAAGTTATGTACTTCCTAACCAACACACACGACAAGCCCTTACAAATTCACCGCAATCATGCAACCGATTACATCAAAATAGGGTTTCCATAACATTCAACTACTCAGGCTACCATAAATAAGGCCCCACTTGGTGATAAATGAAACAGCAATTTCACGATAATACAAGGGGACCCTTCTCTCTACTCTAACCAAGATTTAATGAGGATAAAGCCATGAAAAGAGCAGTTATTTTCTAGGGACATAGGGTTGCTCATTAAATAATGTGAAATATGCAATGACATGCATTATACAATGATATATATGGAGATGTAATGAAAAATAAGCTATAAAACTTTAATAGTTTACATTTAAATTTTCTCCATCTGCTAGAATACTGTAATTTATTCTGCCAAACAGAAGGCAAAATTATTTAATTCCATGTAAAAGAGAGTTTTTCTTTTTCTTTCTTTTTTTAAAGTGACATAATTTTCTATAAAACTCTACATCAATGTCAGATTGGGTTTTCACCTAACTGTATACATGCATAAAGTATTACATCCGTATATTCTACAAAAATTATGTACAACACATAAAAAAATATATTTTGCAATTAATTAACAAATAGTTAAGATGCTGCTCAATTGACCCTTAACATGAGCACATATTTTACAAAAAATATAATATCTACTGTAATCCTTCTATGGATTTAAAATACAAATGCATAATTCATTGAAAATACAGAGTACTTTAATAACATGTTGCTCTTGAAGACATTTAAACGAGTTTATAAAATTAAAGTAACATCTAACAAGTTACCTCCTCCAGGTAATAAATTAATCCTGCTATAAGAGGTAAAACTTTGTCTTCGGAATTAATATTCTGAAGTTTTTGCTCTAAATTATTCACAACATCCTTCCTGCAATGAAATATTAATGAGATAATTAATTTAGAATGAAATTCAACAGCTTCATTCATTTGGAAATTATTTATATGCTAATTTCTCTTGCAAAATAAGATACAAAATATATAATACAGCACAAAGTCCGTAATCTGGACTCATCAGGACTTCGGCGATTCCAGATTAGGGGGTTTTTATGGATCATAGATCATCAATTTAAATCTGGTAAGATGGCATGCAGAAATTATACAATTAAAAATATGAAATCATAATTTATGAAATAAAGAGCAATTATAATCTAAAGGGCATCAAAATTTACAAAAAAAAAAGCTTAATATTTATTTGTTTACTTTACTAAACATTTCTTTCAATATAAGTTGTTTAAGTTGCTTCATTTTTTGTGCTAATACTTTCTCTTTAATTCTATAAACAGACATAATTTCTTGTTCAGTAACAAAGTTCCACTGTTCTGTAATTGCCATGTCAAGAATATCAACTAACTTGTCAATCGAATTTTTTTTGTTTTCAATAATTTCTCTGTCACTTTCTTCACTATCGGAAGCGCACATGCATAAGTTTGTGGCTTTGATTATAGATCATTCCAGATAATGGACGTCCGGATTACGGACTTTGTACTGTATCCCCCAAAAATGTCAATCTTTGACCATATGTGAATAATGTGTAAATGAAAAATATTTGTAGCTAAATAAAATTTTAAAAACATTCCTTTTTTAAAGGGAAACAATACTTTTATCAAATGGCAAAATGACTGCATAACGTTTATTATTTTAAGGGAAAAAATGAAAACAAATACTCCTAATTTGCACTTTTCATCCAGTACCAAAAACTCTTAGGATTTATACAGCAGTTTAATAAATTTTACATATTAGCTTGTTTTTTTAATCATAAATGCAAATTTTATGCAAGTACACTAAAAACGGACAGAAAACAATTTTATCTATTCTTGAAATACCTGTTATAACTGAAATTGGACATTTCATTTTTATGCAGCTTTACAAATTTACTGACAGATAAGTACAAATTAAATGAAGATTTTCACTTCAGTATTTTTCTAAATTTTAAGAATAGCATTTACAAAGTATATAAAAGAAGTAACGTTATTTATTTTAATTGTTATTTTACCCAAAACAGTACTGTGCTAACACTTCAAAATTTAAAAAAATTCGGTTGATCTTTACATTATGGTAACTTGGCGATTTTTTGGCGAAAATTTGGCAACCAACTCTCCTACAGCAACCCTCTATTTTTTTTCCCCGCCGCCATTTTGTCTTCACGAAGTAAAGACATGTTTCTTTTCTTTTTATCTACTGAACACTTCTTCCAACAATCTACTAGCCGAATTACACTTATGCTAGAAATTTTATCAAACAAAACTGCTTAATCATGACAAATATTCACTGCAAAATTGGGAAAAAGTGCACAATACCATACTCCTTACGCGTTTTTCAAAATAACACATACACATAAACCATGTACACACCGACTTATTTTTACTTAAAAAAACATCCCAGAATTGCACAAAAATGGCATCGCGCACACTCTTCACTATATCCATGTACACTGCTTTTTTCTCATAAATTAGAAAAATTTCACGAAAATACATGACAATTTTCTCAATCTTTAAATCCGGTAAAAAGAACATATATGAAATTACCTGATCGCGAAAAAGTATTTACCCTTTACAAATATGAACATTTCCACATCTAAAATAAAAAAAATATCCAAAAACTTCTACATCTAAATCATCTATTACATTATACACGTCACCAACGAATTCATACCGCAAGCATTACAAATACTTAGTATCAAATATTTAAATTATTTCCATGCACGTTTATTTCAACTTAAACGTATACCAAATTCCTACAAACATAAAATTCACAAAATAACTATCATTTAATTAAAATATCACTAAACCATGTACACGTCGACTTATTTTTACTTAAAAAAACATCCCAGAATTGCACAAAAATGGCATTGCGCACACTCTTCACTATATCCATGTACACTGCTTTTTTCTCATAAATTAGAAAAATTTCACGAAAATACATGACAATTTTCTCAATCTTTAAACCCGGTAAAAAGAACATATATGAAATTACTTGATCGCGAAAAAGTATTTACCCTTTACAAATATGAACATTTCCACATATAAAATAAATAAAATATCCAAAAACTTTTACCTCTAAATCATCTATTACATTATACACGTCACCAACGAATTCATACCGCAAGCATTACAAATACTTAGTATCAAATATTTAAATTATTTCCATGCACGTTTACTTCAACTAAAACGTATACCAAATTCCTACAAACATAAAATTCACAAAATAACTATCATTTCATTAAAATATAATTAAATTCAAAAACACTACTTAAAATATAAATGAGCACATACATTAAATTAATAAAAATTACCTTACAATCCTAATTACTTTAAACTAAATCATTGCTAATAACAATTTTCCCAATAATACCAAATTCCTTTCCACCTTACATTTAGAACAATGCATAAAAATAATATCCTCAAATAATTAAAAATACTAACTTACCTAATCTTCTTCAGAATCTTGATTACGTGGCGGATACACTTTTCTAATTCATTCAATAAAATTATTGAAAGATTTTTTTCTGCGAATTTTTCCTCCATACTTCCTCCGCTAAATAAAAAGCAAACTTCTCTTTATCACAATGCCTAAATACCCATTTCGAATTTACTTTAGTTAGGGCCGTGGGATCCAAAAATTAAACAACACTGTTTCACACAACACAGAATACAGCTAAATACAAAATTTCCACATTTTTTCCCGATTTCCCCCTTTTCCGTTTAAAGAACCGTAATTCGTCCATTAATATCACATGACATATCCCATGATCTCTCATTTCCCTCACGCAAAATAATGCGTAATCGGAACTGAGTACCAAAGTCCCAGGTAAGTAACCTTTATCGCCTCCAAAATGTCGCCAAACTACCAGTTACCATATTGTAAAGATCAACCAAAATTCAAATTAAAAAGTATATTAATAATAGTGTCATCATTAATGACCTATAACTTATTACACAGACATACATATAAATTTGAATTTAAATTTAATTTTACTATAGTTTTTGAAGACATACATATCAAACAATATCCCCCATCAATTATACTATTTTTGAAATATAAATCTTACAAAAAAGTATCAATATTAATTCAAAAACTGTACGAAATCTTACTTTTTATCACTATCTCCACTTGAATAAACAGCTAACATTCTAATATACTGCAACTCAGGAGCACTTGATGGAAGAATATCATTTACAACAACACCATATTTGCGTTGTGCAATGTATGCTCGATACATGAAAATATCTTTTTCAAGCTGCTGAGCTGGGTTATTAAACTATAAAAATATTAAAAGAATATAACAATGCTATGATTGCAAAGTAATCAAATATCTTTGGCCTAAAAATATTAACCAAAAAATACCTTAAAATGTCGAATTAAAAGATGAAAATCACATTATGTAATTAGATGCCTATAAATTAATTGCCTACAAACTATAAACTGAAGGATGGTTATATGCTATTCTTTTGTAATAAAATACTTAAAAACAACCTGTCATAGTCATGTGCATGGTTGCCAGAGTCTCGCACATTTCTAAAATTTGGCGACTTCTACCAACGTCATCAGTTCCTCTATTATATTTTGTGAATATCATAAGTATCAAAATTTGTGTTTTCAATTGCTTAAGTGTGTTTCCTTTTGATAAGCTGGGAATGTTTGATAACTTATAATAACCATCAATCTTTTTAAACATTCGTGAACTTGCACCTGATAACTAACTTTTGCTAATAACTACTTTCTAAAAATTGAAAGACACTGCCAAATTAAACGATGGAGCTTATAAATGATTGTAAATTAAAATACTATGCAACTTAGAATGTTGAAACACTATGAAATTTTAAAATACACATAACACATACTTTGCAGAATTTATTTAAGTTTAAAATTATGACAGATTTATGGAATTCTCAATTCACATTAGATTTAGTGCAATGTTAAAATATAAAGTTCTTATGTTAGAAATAGTACATCAGCTATTAAATGGATAAAGCATCAAGAAACTTGTAATTTATCCTAGTTCAACTGCCAGTGATTTAACATATGGGCTGAATGGATATTTTTAGGGGGTTTCTTAATGTAAAATGTAAACACTGCCAGTTATCCTTAGAATACCCACAAAAGACAAATAGCTTGTTTAATTATGATATAAGATGTAAGGGTTATGTGTCTAAAAAGGAGAGATGCTCTTATGGAGGACTTTCCATTTATCAGACTTTTAACCCAGAAAGTGTTCAACGATCTTATCCATATGACCATTGGGAAGAGAGACTTAAGCAAATAGCATCAGTATTATTCAACAATACTCTTCCATTATGACCTGCCATAGTTTTTGGTCCCTGCAAAAAGGAAGCTAACAATGCTGAGACTCAATGACGGCACCATCTGAGGACTATATGCGTATGTGACTGTAAGTGTAGACAAGAATAATTAAACACATACTACTATAACAGAACTGCCAAAATGTGTGACAAGTGCATAACAGAAGAGAACCTATTTAACTAAACATATTACACTATTTAATAACTAATCTGAGTTTAAAAGATTAATAACATAATCTCCAAATCTGACGAACTTAATCGTCCAATTTGCAGCATGCAAATTTCAAATACCAGCAATGACTTATTTAGTGGCTGCTTTAACAAAGAAGTACTAGGACTTGTACATCAATTAGATTAAGGTAAGCAAAGGTTTAAATGAATTCTTTCCTTTTTTAAACAACCATGAAAAAATTTGGGACTAACTACACGCAAATGCTCTCCAGTTAATGAAATATTTTTAAGTTTGCTCACTTTTTTTTATCAACTGTGAAAAGCTAAGCAGTGAGAATTTCATACAAAGAACATTTATCAGTTAATCACAATAAATCATTAAATACAATGAATCTTCCAAAATCTAAATCTGACAATTGGGATGATTATAAACAGCAATAATGAGTATATTCCAATTAAAGAGTTGCTGAACACTGGTAGTTCGATCTGGGTTCGATTTCAGGCGAACGGGCTGGCTGCATGGGAATTTTTCCCTGTGCAACGTGAAAACGAGCTAGTTTCCCTTTCAGAGCCCTCCACAAAAACATCTCTCCTCTTAGAATGACGGGCTTTGTGCGCCTTACCAAAATGAACAGAACCAAATCGAACATATAAAATATAAACAATTTAACAAATATTAAACATTTGCAACATAATATGTAAGTCAAGCATATTTTGCACATAAATATAAAATCTCGTAGATAAGGCAACAACTATTACTTGAATAATTTAGTACCATTCGCACAGTTATTTTCGTAGCATATTTTTCCCAAAATTTCAGATTTATGAGTTAACGACTGCAATGGAACACACAGCATGTTTTAAAAATGTAGTAAAACAGGGTAAGTATACTTAAAAATGTAATAGGACCATCCTTACTAATATAAACATTTCAATTTCACGAACCTTCGACTTTTGAGCTTCATTTATACAATACTGATAATTTCCTATATAAAATGAATTTTTAATATCAAACAACACATCCGCACCCGTTTGACTCGCCATCACGAAAATCGTCGTGTGTCGTGTATTAAAGAACCTTGGCCGTCGTCAACATTACCAAAGCGGAAGTCCGTTACAATTATGCGACTACAAACGCTGACGGTTTACGGAAGTTAGCGGGTCTCACGTGACTGGTGGCAACAATACGTCACAAACTATTTGTCTGGGTTACTATAATTGGCTGTTTTCCACTTTTTTATGTGAATTTCGAGAAGTTTAATTTATAGAAAATCCTTAATATCATGATGTAAACAAACACCGATGGCAAAAAATTATTTGGTAACTACATCCATTACGTATTGATAAATGTTTCGACATGATTACATATAACTGCATTAATAACCAAATAAAACAAACATAGATTACAAATGCGTTATGTAATGGAGCATGTAACTAAAACTTCAGAATTGTAGAATCCGGAAGATTTTTTTTTATGACATTTTGTCTGAATTTTCCGAGTTAGAAGTATAACAAAATACGAGCAGTGTTCTAATAATTTTTAAATCTTCATATTCTTTAATATTACTGCTGTTTTTGATAACATGATCATAACATAACTGATGATCATAACATCATTTAAAATAAAATCTAGTAATTCTGCTGAATACTGCTTTTCATGAAAGCACGAGAATATTTTAATGGGATTATTAAAGTATCTGTAATAAAGAAAAAAAAAAAGTAGGTTAGGAATAAACAGTAAGTAAAAGGAAGATTACTAATAATATATATTAACTATTGTATATATGTGTAATTTTGTGAATTGTGAAATAATGATATTTGTTCATTTTATAATTTAATAAATAAAAATTGTGAAAAAATTATATTTGTTCATTTTATAATTTAATAAATATTATGAAAAAGCTACGTACTTTTTAAAAAATCATTTGCACTTGTTTTTCATTATTGCATTTAAGTTTTATTCATTATTTGAATCAATATATATAAGAATATAAGAGAATCGTATACATTTTACAAGTAAAATATTATACGCAGTATGAATGGAGATATGTTACTGTAAGATCCTAAAGTCTGGTAAATCCTAGGTTTTACCAGTAAAACCTAGCTTTTACCAAAGTAGCTTGTTAAAAGCTCGAAGTATGCTTTAATATATGATTCCACTTCAGCCTTTGAGGTAAAACCGAGGAGTTACCAATGCCTTCTGGTAAAATCCTGAAACAAGGGATTTAAATCAACCTTGAATAAGCCTCCGCACACAAATTCCGTCATGACACTTTTCTGTTCCTGCCTCTCCTTATTTGCACCATTCGCAGTCTAACTTGGACATAATTTAAACAAGTGTAAGCAGCTACGATCTAAAAAAGAAGAAGTTTGGGCGCAAGTGCAGAATCGCCCACTTATCGATGTTCACATGGACAAAGTCAAGGGAGTGCGTAGTGCCAAGTTTGTGTAATTCTCTGATGTTATTTTAAGCAAAAATAGGTCGTTGTGTACATGGACACTGAGTTTGTGCAATTCTTAGACTTGTTATTTTCAAGTTGGCGATTTTGAGAAATGCGCTAAGCAGGGGTGATTCTGCACTTTCCCTGAAGTTTGTTTCCATTTTTACATACTTTGCTTTTTTTATTTTGCTGATGGGAAATGAGTGATGTTATGCGGAAAAAGATTATGACATTTTGTCTGAATTTGTAAAAAATAAGCCTGATAACTGCTTTTATTTAACAAGTGAGAAATATGTGATGGAGAAACAAACAGTTCATTACAGAAGGTTGAAACGCTGTCGTATTCTAATTGGAGGAAAGGACAAACTTATAATATCACTATTTGCAAAAATCCTATATTATGTTACAACTGATGAAGTCTTCAACACAGCACTCATATTGCAATTGGCCATGGTGAAAGAACTTGCATGATTAAAGAACTGAATCGTAAGTACAAGAATGTAACAGTAGAACCTATTTTCACATATTTAAGACTATGCGAACCATGTCAGAAGAAACAAAAAACTGTGAAAGATGGGATTGTAATTAAATCAGTTGTGCATAGTGAAATGAATTCTCGATGCCAAGTCAACCTAATAGATATGCAGTCCAATACTGATCATGATATGAAATTCATTTGAGTGCATCAAGATCATCTTACACAATTTGTCCTACTCCGAAGTTTACACAGTAAAAGAATTGTTGAAGTAGCATATCACTTTCTGGATATTTTCATAGCTTTTGACCCTGAGCATTCTTCATTCTGATAATAGGAGGGAATTTTGCAACCAAATCAAATCATAAACAGTTTATGTGAAATGTGGAGTGATATAAAAATAGCTCACTGAAAACCGAGACACAGTCAGTCACAAAGTTCTGTCGTCGAACCAAGATGTTGAGAACATGTTGGAAACAAATAAGATAGGAAATTGGTCAGAAGGATTAAAATTTGTTCAAAAATAAAAAAACAAAGCATATCAGGAGGGATTCAAATGTTCATCTTAATGAAGCTATCCTGTGATGTCCTGCAAAGTTGTCTTATGAAGCTAGGACTTGCTAACTCAGTTTTGCCACATAATTTGATTAGTAACATGACCACTGAACAGGATTTAGAAAAAAGTTATAAGTATGTATTACTAATGAATGTGTGGTTAATACAGAAAATGGGAAAACTAATCTCGAATCAACAGTTGATTTAGAATTGCAAGATAATAATAATGCATATGAAAAATAATCAGACATAACAATGGAAGCAGATACTAAAGTTTGAATTGAAATGAAAGAACCAGATATATGCTCTGACACAACGGGTGCAATTATCAAGAAAACTCAAAATGTGAAAGTGTTTCGAGAGACAGTTAAGGAAGGACTTCAGAAGCAGGCAAAGAAGATGAAGACTGTGTCTACTAAAAACTTTCCGAAACCTACATTTGGACAAATACTTTTGGAAAAATGTTAAAATAAAAGTACCTGATATTGATAGATCAAAAATGGATCCAAAATCAATAATAGCCGTTATTAGAGATATTTAAGATGATGAGTTTTTATGTTTTTGATAGTAAGTTCGGTAAATTAAAATCGTTGTAAACAGGAAAGCAGTTTATTTTTTGTAAAGAAAAATTTTTTGAACATTGAAGAAGTTGGTATAGAAGAAGTAAGTGTATGTGAAATAGTAAAAAAAAAAAAAAAAAATTCTTTAGTTGGGGGACAAGGACTTAGAAAATGCAGCTGTTAAAAAAAAGTGTACTACGAACATCTGTTTGTGCAAATCAGCTGATCTACTTTGTAAATCCAAATGCCATAACAATCAAACTTGTTGTAACAGGTAATAAAATGTATTAAAGTAGTAGTACTAAAGAAAAACATGCTACAGTTTTCTTATTTTTTTAGTTACGTGCTTATTTAACTCTATTTTATATGTTGTGGTATTTCAATTCCTAGGTTTTTAATCTTTTTTTTTTTTTTTTTTTTTTTTTTTTCCTCGTTTTCAATCTTAGAACTTTGTATTTATCAAGTAATAAAACAGAAGCTGCTTACAGTATCATCTGTATTCAGGCTTACAGTACTGGATATTAAGATCCTTCAAGATTCAGTGTTATTCAAGTTTGGCATGTTTGATAGTGAATACAAGTAAAATATGTTACGAATAAGAAATATTTGAATTTCAGTTATTATACTTGATACTCAAGTCATAAAAATGTTATTTATTCCTTGTTAGTTGAAATCATATTTTAGGATATTATGAGTTAAATTTCGTAAACTATATACTTAAAAAGAAAAACCTTTGAAAATTTGTCCTTAGGTGATAAAACAATATTAAAATATAGCATATAAGCATAAAATTAGAATTCAATAGCCAAGCCAGAATTTAAATTACTAAAGTTTAAAATGCTAAATTTAAATTACTAAAGTTTAAAATAGTGTGAAAAAAGTCTCATGTTATTTCGAGCTTCCCAATTATGTTTAAGTAGAGAATTCTTTGTTAGAGCAGGACAAAGAAGGAAGTGATCACTATCCATAAAGCCAGAATGGCAGAGATAATCAAGACTATTAAAAATTCCAGTCTTACTCATGTGGACAGCCCAGCAATGATATTCCACTGCTAATCAAAACACAACTATTGTATCTTCACAAGGGCACCAGTCTAGTAAATCATCAAAATCCTTGAGTTTTTCCCTCAATGTAAATTAAACAAAACCCTGCTGAATTTTAAGCTTCGTGGCTCAAAGTTTATCTGAGACATCTATGAAAGTCTAAGAATGTTGTTGAAACTTGAGTTGGAAATTTGTATCTCATGAGACATGCACAGTTGTCCAGTTCAGTATAAAAGTAACTCTTAGGGTTGTTTTTTTCAATGCCAGTCAAGGCGAAGAATCTGATTTTGCATTTGTTCCAATTTGTTCTTCAAATCCTCAAAGGCAGTTATTAATTGAGTGCTGGAATATTTCATAACAGTAAGTAGGTTTGTAAGTTGTAAATAAAGTGGAAGTCGCATATCCCCACCTTACTCCTGTTGTTTAATTACATTGAAAAAATTATTTATCCTTAACGTTAGTTCCTCCACCCATTAATTCCAAGACCAATTCCTATTTAAGACAATTACCATGTAGTTAAAAGTTTAGAAACAATTATTTCAATCATAATTCCTCCAATCCATTAATTCCAAGACAAATTTCTATTTAGGACAATTCCCATTTAGTTAAAAGTTTAGTATTGAGGCACATGGATATTATTATATAAAACTCCAAGTCAAAAGGCTTGTGACACAATACAAAAGTTATACAGGCAGGCTTTTCTGTTTCTATGCATGTTATTTAATTGGCACCAAGTACTCAAGTCTTCATGACATCATTTAATTAACTATTTCTGTGTACCTTTTTTGAGGATGGAAGACCATGTCACCAAATTTTCAGCATACATCAATACATTTACATCCCTATCTTCTAACATAAATATAAGGTTGTTGACATGTATATTACAAAGAAACAGCTGAACATAGTATCCTAGGGAAGACGGGACTGAAGTTGCTTGTGATGAGATATGAGTAAAGTGTAATGCAATATGTTGTTTTATTCATAACACAGTGCATTTATTA